TGTTACTCCTATGGGAGAGATGACAATGTCCTATTATGTTTATTTCGTCTAACTGGTTAACAACTCTACAATCATACCTATATACGTGTAACATGGTGTTTTCGATTCTTCGTTACAGTAATTTGATTGGAGTATTTTATTGTTTTTATTTGCGCGATATTCGAAAGCCGAAATGGCGATCATTTAGGCGTAGCGTCCATCTCTTGTCAAGATTTCAGACTTTCAGATCTGAAACATTTATTTTCACATCAAAACTTATGCATATATCATTATCAAGAGTATATAATGGGAGATATGCTATATAATGGGAGTTCTCCCATATATACCTTTGCTTTATATATCCCCCCTCCCTCTTCTATCACACCCAAGGTGAGCTACAGTGTCATTGACACTTTCATTTCATTTTGAGATCATAAAAACGAGCCATAATAAGGGTCCTGCTTGGGTACCCGAATCCTGTCTACACTGTAAATATTTAGAACTTTTTAGTTAATATTTTTTGCTAGTCTTCTAAGGAAATGTTTTCTTTTCTCCTTTGCTTTTGTGAATTAAATTATTTAAACAAACCGTAAATCAAATGCCTAAACATCCTCGTGAAACATGTAGTAATACTAGAGCACTCTGAGAGCGCAAACCTCCGCCAAGGCAGCTCAATTGTCTCACTGTGAAAAATTTAATTAATTAATTAATTAATTGGATCCGGATCACCACCAAAATGTAATCAATTCTAAGTTACCCCATTTCTGACTTATCCTGAAAATTTAATTAACTAATTAATTAATTAATTAATTGGATCCGGATCATCACCAAAATGTAATCAATTCTAAGTTACCCCATTTCTGACCTATCCTGAAAATTTTATGACAATCCGTCCATAACTTTTTTAGTTAGGCTGTACACAAACAAACAAACGCACAAACCCACAAACCAACAAACACACGCCGGTGAAAACATAACCTCCTGCCAACCCCTTGGCGGAGGTAATTACACACAACAAAAAGGTATTTGGTATTCTATTACCAGTTATAAATTTGTTTAAGAAGTGCATGTATATTCAACTTTAAAATAAAAACCTGCATGAACATATGTTAGTGTAATATTAGTCTTTCAATATGGTGAAGATAAACAGGTCTGTTGATGCAATGAAAAGGACCCAGTAGACTTGCAACATACACGTACTCGGCACTAGTTAATAAATACATTTGAAATGGTTTGATATGTGGTAAAATCTCATTAGTTCATTATACATTTGTTATGTGCTAAAGCCGAAGGAATGACTTTTTTACAGGAAATAACCTGATGAAATCAGAAAGCTTCTCCGAAGCGATTGAATATTATAACAAAGCAATTGTATTAGATCCCACCAATGCAGTCTATTACTGTAACCGGTATGTATGTTTGATAGAAAATGTATTGTATGGTATAGGAATAGAATATTTCGATTCTATTCGTCACTGACCATTTTTAATGAGTCTATGATATTGTAGGAGTTATGTTGGACAGATTTTAACATTAGAAGCTGTGCAAAAACAAACTTAAACTATATTCGTATCTCATTTCAGAGCTGCAGCATATAGCAAAACAGACCAGCATCTAAATGCCGTACAAGACTGCCAGAAGGCTATAAATATAGATTCAACATATAGTAAACCATATGGCAGAATGGGGTAACTGTTTTTTTTCTATATTTATGTAAAATTAGAGACTAAAATAATTGTCTACTTACATTAACAATTAAGAAGTGAAAAGTTTGCATACATTTTTCCATCTACCTACCTAGTCTAATTTTTATATGAATGTAATTGGAAGCAACCAATTAATTTTGTTTGGCCTTAATAAAGTGAGAAATGGTTTAATGTTATTGGCATGACAGACACAGTGAAAGTTGACATTCTGTCGACTGTTGCAGGCTCGCTTATACAGGAATGAACAGGCATGCAGAAGCAAAGGTCTGTTATGCCAAAGCACTTGAGTTGGACCCTGAAAATCAGAGTTATCAGAATAACATGCGAATATCTGAAGAAAGGTTGAAAGACTTACCAGGGGTAAGAACCTCACATAGAAATTAAAAGTTCTTAGTCATTGTTATAAAGATCAAAACAATTAGATATAGAAAGCCATACCTAGATTACTAATAACTAAAGTTATTGTGATGGTGGCAATGAGATTTTGGACATCCAGTTAAACGTACATGCTAAGCATTGTTAGTGGTTGTAGAATTACAGCGGCATTACTGGCACTATGCTGTTACTCAGCAACTGTAAATAACTGTTTACTCGTGTGTTTAGCTCATCTGACGTAGTCAGATGCAGCTTGTAGAATCGCATGATCGTCCGTGTCGAGGTAGGCCGGCCCGTGTCGGCTGCAAGGAGGTGTAAAAGAATGGGGAAGATTCTTCCTGTAACTTAGGTATAGGGGAGGAATGCAGAATGTGCCGGAGCAACTAAACGGCGACCTAGGGCTGCGTGATAGTCGGGCGTATTAGGCATCAGGGGATGGACAAAGCATTCATTAGTGCCGCAATTTGGAGTCACAGGGTCAAGGTTAATGGCACAGGGCGATTTGATTATTGAGGACGTATGGTTGACGGGAGGTGTGGAAAAAGTTTTTTGTTGTCCAGCGGTGGAATTTACATTTTATGGGCTTTATTGAACGGAGCGCATGACATGTACTTTTGATGACTGACATGCGAAGAGTAAGAGTGATCGGATACCTTTTGACCTGCAAAAGGGCGGGTTAACAACTGGATTGTTTCTGGTGTAGAGAATTTGACTGCGGTTGGCGGTAAGTAAGAGATGGTGGGGAGTATCTTGCGTAGGAGTGTATGAGGCATGGAAGTAAGGTGAAAAATTAAAAAGGTAGAATTGATGGTCGAAGAAGGTTTATGGTTAAATCGTATATTTCTATGGCATTGACTGTTCTGTGAGTTGTGTTACGATGTGAAGCGTATGTCCTGCCGAGTGGCATGCCAGTGATGTGGTGGTGGTACTGTGGGTGGTGTTGGCGTTGCGTTAATTAGTTACGAAGGTGAGATGTTGGCTATATCTTCAGCTGTAGGTTGCGTAGGGTAAGTGGATGAGGGTTACGTTATTCTGTGTGCTCTGCAAATGGTTGTTGATAGTTAGGTACGATGGGAGCTTCGCATCTTAACTTGAAGACACTTGACGTTACACGTATCTCGTGCAACTTTATAACATCGAAAGGAGAGAACATTCTTGAGAAGGGTCCGGGATACAGATCACGCTGTGCCTTCGCACTGTTTCGGCGTGTATGTGCAACACTGTTTGGGATTACAGGGTTTACAGAATCCGACCACTCCACCACAGAGTCACCGCAGTAGACGTTAGATGAGCGCTGTCGCTCCGCGGCACTTGTTTTGATGTGTGTAGTATTAGGGCAGTGCGTAGTGAATACGGTATTGGTAAAGGTCTAGTTGTCTTTTCTCTAACCGTTTATTTTCAAATGAGGATGGTAATGTAAGCGGTAATTTACCCTCATGTTGTATTATCTCTGTGTTAACAAGGATGGAGCAGCTGGTGGTCTTCCCCTTGGAGGAGCCATGAACGCTGGTGGTATGGACTTTGGGTCCCTACTCAGCAATCCAGCTCTAATGAACATGGTACTTTCAATTCCAATCATTCTATGAATTCTCATTCTTCTCAGTTGTCTGCGTTGCCTAGCCTTTTGCAACGTTAGTGTCACTATATTGATTCATTTTTGCTCTGGTATACTCTTGATGAGTTGGTAGTTGATCGTAAATAATTAAGTGATATAATCGTTAGAATAATATTTTTTCCTTGTTCATTGGAATTTTGTGGCGTTATTGGTAAGGCATGTTCTGTTCTTTCAGGCGACCCAAATGATGTCCAACCCGATGATGCAGAATTTGTAAGTGTGCTTGCTTGTTGTATTGTCACAGCGAAACCTTTATCATTACAGAATCGTATACTGGTGTGTCATTTCAATGTCACGTTCATAATAATGTCATTGGAGTCTGACCTATAGATGTGAGTCTTTGCCATTAGGCTGTGTGTAGTTGAATGTATGTGGAATATGTAACCATTGCATTTGCATTCATATGTGTAGGTACAAAACATAGATATATACGGCAGACACATGCTCACACATGTGCATGCATATCGCTTACACAAGCACTACACATACTCATATTAATGCACATGTCCATGCACACGAATGGACGGGCACACATACATGAACATGGACATTTGTGCTCACACGCAAGCCTACACATGCATGTGCGTGCACACAAAACTGTTGCATGTTCATACACAGATACGTATTTATGCTCACTTATTAATAGCACGAGATTAATCGTTAGCATCTTTTATTTTATTATTCAGGATGTCTGATTTGATGTCAGGAGCCTCGACACGGCCAGATGGTCAGCAGGGACTTTCTACTCTCCTTCAGGCGTAAGCTGATTAGAATTATATCCACTTATTTAGAACTCAGAAAAAATTATTTTTAGCTCACCTTGACATCGTCAAGATGAGCTATTGCCATGGGGTGTCGTTCGTCGTACGTCCGTCCGTCCATCTGTCAACATTTGGCTACGGTCAACGATAACTCATGAACCGTTTGATCCACATGTTTCAAATTGCATATAGTTGTTACTCCTATGGGAGAGGTTTGAACATCCTATTTTGGAGCACGCCAGTTGACCTACTTTCGAGCCACGTCCACTTTTTGGCAAAAATGGAAATGGCCATAAGTCAGTTCAGGTTCAACGGATTTTGCTCATTTCTTGTATGTGAATGAATGAGGATTGGCCCCAAAACATATCACACAGGTTTTGATATTTTTTTTAATTATGCAAATTAGGTAGATTTTGGCAATTTCACTATGCATTCTGCCTATGGTCAACAATAACTCAAGAACTGTTTGACCCACATGTTTCAAATTGCATACAGTTGTTACTCCTATGGGAGAGGTTTGAACGTCCTATTTTGGAGCACGCCAGTCGACCTACTTTCGAGCCACGCCCACTTTTTGGCAAAAATGAAAATGGCCATCTGGATTCATTCGATTTTGTTAAATTTTGGTATATGAATGTGAAAGGCTAGCCCCAAAGCAGTTGTTACTCCTATGGGAGAGATGACAACGTCCTATTATGTTTATTTCTTCTAACTGGTTAACAATACTACAATCATACCTATATACGTGTAATATTGTGTTTTAGATTCTTCGTTACAGTAATTTGACTGGGATATTTTATTGTTTTTATTTGCGCGATATTCGAAAACCAAAATTGTGCCTCCTATGTAGAAGAAACCCTGCACTTGTGCATACATTGTAAATTATGACTTGTGTAACTATTAATCTAACCCCAATGCTATCCTTGACTGTAATCCTCGATTCACACAGTTGCATACGTACAGTCACACGTGGTCGTGTACCAACCCTGCATAAATTGCGTCCTTTTTATTTTCCTAGGCCATCGTATACAGATATGTCGGATAGACACAGGCTTGTATTTGCCTTCCTTCAGTTTCTACAGGATGAAATTGGCAGCGGGCAGCTATCTGGTGATGCTGCAGAGAGCCTAGAAGGTTGTACAGTATACTATTACTAGTGTCTTATTTAATCTGATTTACTTTTCTCATGTTATTATTAGCACATGTAGTGAATTTAATATATACAGTAAAACTCGCATAAGTCGGCACTTTTGGGACCAGTATTTTTGTGCTGACTTACGAAAATGACGATATACGCGTAAGTCGTCATTTTGATGACTTACAAGCCAGCATTTCGACGACTTGGAGAGTGTCAAGCTGATATTTCACCAGGCACAGTTCATATCTACATGAACTAGTACATGCACTAAGGTATAATCTCAAAATTACTTGATCCTGATGCCATGAAACACCAAAATATTCAGTAAATAATCAAAGGAAGATTACCCCACCCCTAAACTCGCATAAGGCGGCACTTTTGGAACCAACATTTTTGTGCCGACTTACGAAAATAATGATATACGCATAAGTCGTCATTTTGTCGACTTATGCGCAGGCCTATGCATGTACACTAGCTATAATTTGAACTGGATTGAACGAGACTATCCCCGCGTTCACACGTAGCTAAAACCCAGTTTCGTACGCGCACAAAATTCAGTTTTGTACGTACTCGGGACAAATTTTCCTCGTGTGAGTGACCACGTATAGCTATATCAAGTTCGAAACGCTTATAGCTATACTGACACAAAAGGTGCGTTTCGTACGTACTTTGTATAGCTATACGCGTTTCGTATAGTGGACGTGTGAACAATCGGCTGTAGTTATTCGCATATAACTCGGCGGAGCAACATGAACAGATTATGAAGAAATATAAGCTCTCTGCTTCGGCCTAGATACAAATATCCGGATATTTAAAAAAATGATGATAAAGATCAAGGTTAAAGGTCAAAATAAAGGTCGTAAGTGACCTGGTTTTGGTACGCTGCGCACCGTCTCCCCAAAGATGTGTAAGTATCGCCATGTTTCGGTCACGCTAGGTCATTCTAGGGGTCGAGTTATAGAGCGGAAGGGGAAGGTGTCTGCGGCCGCGCCCCGAGCGCGTGGCTGGACAGACGTGAAGAACCATAGATATCACCGCGACTATCGATCGGGGGGAGTACAATAATATGAGTGTTAAAGATCACACCAGCATAATAAGTATATAAGCATAAACTCCCTAGGCTGCACACTTTCATAAGGGTTCTCTTTCACTAATTAGCCAGCAACTGTACTGAGATTGGATAATATTTCTTATTATTCTCACGGCTAAAAGTTTTATGCCAACTTTATATCTAATGAAAATATGTTAATATCAAAAAATGGTAAAATCGCCACTCGCAGTATGTCAAATAGTTACGCAGAAAGTATGCATAAGTAGTTATGCATTATAGCAGAATTATTTAACATTTCAGAAGAGAAGTGGACTACAGGCCCTAGGGTATAGTACGGTAATTAGATATTATTATATAATGGCCTCCTTATTCAGAAAACTAATGAAGTGTCCAATGAACACAGGGTAGCTCAACCTATGGAAATGTGATAGAAAGAGGGAGGGGGGGGGAATAATACTAAAGCAAGCAGTATATATGGAGAACTCCCATTATATAGCATAATCTCCCATGTATATACTCTTGATAATATATATGCCAGTAAGTTTGAGCGAAAATAAATGTCTTCAGATCTGAAAGTCTGAAATCTTGACGAGGAGATGGCGCTATGCCTAAATCGACTCCGCCATTTTGGTTTCTCGAATATCGCGCAAAATAAAACAATAAAATATCCCACGCTCAAATACTTGTAACGAAGAATCATAAAACACAATATTACACGTATGATAGCGTATATTGTAGCTATTGTTAACCGAGTTAGAAGAAATAAACCATAATAGCGACGTTCATTCTCTCCCATAGGAGTAAACAAGACTGCTTTGGGCTAGCCTCTTCACATTCATATACCACAAATTTAACCAAATCGAATGAATCCAGAATGAGTCATTTTCATTTGCCCAAAAAGTCGGCGCGTAGGCTCGAAGTAGTCGACTGGCGCTGCCCTCCAAAATAGGACGTTCAAACCTCTCCCCATAGTGAGTAACAACTGTATTGCAATTTGAAACATGTGGGTCTCAAACAGTTCTTGAGTTATTGTTGACCATAGCAGAATGCATAGTGAAATGCCAAAATCTACCGAATTTGCATAATTAAAAAAATCATCAAAACCTGTGTGATATGGTTTTGGGAGCCAATCCTCATTCATTCACATACAAGAAAATGAGCAAAATCCGTTGTTAACCTGAACTGACTTACTGGCCATTTCCATTTTTGCCAAAAAGTGGACGGACGGGCTCGAAAAAAGTTTTTAGGGGCGGGTAGGTCAACTGGCGTGCCTGCGCAAGAAGTAGGATGTGCAAAACTCTCCCACTAGGAGTAACAACTATATGCCAATTTGACAACATCCGTGGATCAAAACCGGTTCCATGAGTTATCGACTTGGACCGTAGCACAATGTTGACAGATGGACGGACGGACGTACGACGAACGACACCCCATGGCAATTAGCTCAGGCTTGACGATGTCAAAGGCCTGAGCCTAAAAATACAAGTTTTTCTGAGTTCTAACATAAGTGGATATAATTCTAATCCAGGCTTACGCCTGAAGGCAGCAGTAGAACAGTCCCTCCATGCTGAACCATCTGCCGTGTCGAGGCTTCCTGACGATCAAGCAGACAGTCCTGAATAAGTAAAATAAAAGATGCTAACGATTAATCTCGTGCTATTAATAAGTGAGCATAAATAACGTATCGTGGTATGAACATCGCAAACAGGTTTGTGGCACGCCACGATGCATGTGTAAGGCTTCGCGTGTGAGCACAAATGTCCATGTTCATGTATGTGTGCCCTCCATTCGTGTGCATGGACATGTGCCATTAATAATGGAGTATGTGTAGTGCTTGTGTAAGCGATATGCATGCACATGTGTGAGCATGTGTCTGCCGTATATAATCTAATGCTTTCTGTACCTACACATATGACATGCAAATGCAATGGTTACATATATCCACATACATTCAACTACACACAGCCTAATGGCAAAGACTCACATCATATAGGTCAAGACTCCAATGACATTATTATGAACGTGACATTGAAATGACACACAGTATACGATTCTGTACATGAATAAAGTTCCTGTGACAACTACAACAAGCAAGCACACTTACAGAATCCGGCATCATCGGGATTGGACATCATTTGAGCGGTCGCCCTGAAAGAACAGAACATGCCTTATACCAATACGCCACAAATTCAATGAACAAGGAAAAAATATTTATTCTAACGATGTATATCACTTATTCATTTACGATCAACTACCAATCATCAAGCAGTATAGCCAGAGCAAAAATGAATCAATATAGTGACACTACGTCTGCAAAGGCTAAGGCCAACGCATGACAATTGAGAAAGAATGTGAATTGCATATGAAAGTACCATGTTTCATTGAGAGCTGGATTGCTGAAGTAGGCGACCCAAAAGTCACATACCACAGGGCGTTCATGGCTCCTCCAAGGGGAAGACACCAGCTGCTCCAATCCTTGTTACAACACAGAGATAAGTAACAGTGAGGGTAATTACGCTACATTGTTTTACCATCCTCATTTGAAAAGAAACGCGTTAGAGAAAAGACAACTAGACCTTTACAATACCGTAGTTCACTACGCACTGCCCTAATACGACACACATTCAAACACAAGTGCCGCGGAAGCGACAGCGCTCATCTAACGATTACTGCGGTGACTCTGTGGTGGAGTGG